TCACCCTAAAAGGAACATCATCTCTGACCAGGCCCGAGACTTCACAGTCGATCTGGATGAACTCCATCAATTACTAAAGAATAAAATTTCCAAAGCTCAGTCTCACTACAAGATCTAAGCAGACAAGCATCGGATCTCAGCACCCCTGTTCACAGTGGGGGACATGGTCTACCTCAGCTCCAAATATATCAAAACCACCCGCCCGACCAGAAAATTCTCAGAGAAATACCTTGGTCCTTTTGAAATCATAGCCCAACCTGGTACCCACTCCTTTACCCTGAGACTTCCACCAGATCTCTGGTCCATTCACCCTGTCTTCCATGTGTCACAATTGGAACCCATAGAAGAAAACACCATTTCTAACTGAATCCAACCACCACCACCTCCAGTTGAAGTCGACAGGGAAGAACATTTCGAAATAGCCCAAATCCTCGACTCTAAACTAGACCACTGGTTTCACTGCCCACTGCTGTACAAAATCCAGTGGCTAGGCTATGAAGGTACCAACAAAGAGTTTGCTTGGTTACTGGCCTCCGAGTTCTCTGCTGATGAATTTATTGAAGAATTCCACCATCAATACTCAGGTAAACTAGGACTCTTATCCAAAGTCACTCAATCATTCTATTTTTGATACAAGACTACTCTGGATGCTACTGGAGCCTCACCCTACTATTTCAATTCTACCAACCGAATACCATTTCAATCACCCCTCTTACACTTTTATAAGTCAAAAAACTTATATCTACATTTTTTTTCTCCATTACCAACATCCAATGCTTTTTCTATATACATTTCATACAAAAGCTCTATAAGAAAGTGGAATCCAACAGGCCCACACCAGAACTAAAACTCTCCTCTCACCTCTTCAACTCCTCCATATCCTCATCTAGTCTCTTCAACATCACCTCCCGCAGATCTTCCACCTCCTGATCCTTCTCATCCCTGAAAAGCAGATGAGCCTTCTTCCAGGCCTCCAACTTGGACTCTGAAAACAACTCCAAAGAAGACAACATATCATCCAACCTATAATCATCCTGGAGACCCACTACAGTACCACAGACATCTGCCACCTTATCTGCCAACTCATCCACATGATGCATCAACTTGCATATTAACTTCAAAAGCTGGTGGAGACCAGCAGAGACCTCCACACTGCTGATCACCTCACTCACAGTGACACCCTTATTAAATGAACAGGCAGTTTTCTTGATCTTGCAGCAAGAGCAAGTCCACCCTCGACCAGTGCCTTTGGTTACCAGTCATGCATAACATTGTGTGCCATTTTGATGACAGCGCACACAACTCCCTGAAACCAAAAGCTAAGTTCAGCCATGAAAAGAAAACTGAGACACTTACTCTCACCATCCAACAATTTCTTGCCCTCTGCTGGTCCCACCACTTCCAACTTCATCTGCTTTTTAGGGCTAACAATCATCTCTGTCTCACTGTCATCCACTAAGCTTCTTAATCTGAACTTGCATTTATGGCCCTTCTCCATCGGACTCACCACCCTCCTCTTCCCCTCCCACACTCTCTTTCTCCTCTCCAGGGTTCCCTCGGATTCCTCAGACTCATCATCTCCCTCAGTCCCCTTTGCCTGCTCATCATCAGACTCCAAAGGCATATGGTGAGTCACCTTCTTGAAGCAAAGACCAGGGCCAGAACCATACCATTCTGCCAACACTTGACACAGCCAAAAATCAACAGCCTCCATAAGGGTCATCAGCAACCCATCCTCTATAACCATCCCCTCTAGCCCTACCTCCTCAGCCTCAGCCCTTTCCACTGCCTCTGTGGCCTCTCTCTCCTCAGCCTCCCTCCAAGTGGCCTCTCTCAATGCCTTCTCTGCCTCCTTAGCCTGCCTCTCTGCAGCTTGCTGAACCTCCTCTCTCTTCCTCTCCAATTTCTTCTTCTGCTCCTTTTTCTATGCCTCCTAGGCCATACGGTCTGCTTAGACCTTTTCCTCCCACTCTTGCTCCCTTTGCCATTCCAAATGACTCTCTATGGCCTCTGCATATTCTTCCTCCACAGCCTCCCATTCTAAATGAAACAATTCTTTGGTCTCATCAGAGCCATTGGAGGTGGATCCCCTCACCAGAGGCTCAGGAGTGCATGAGCAATGATATGTGGTGAGCAATGATATAGATGATGATGGTGGTTTCAGATCAAGATACAAAACTCCTACAGCCACTAACAATCTTCCATGTGGTCTCACTGGCCATCAGGATCTGTGCTCTTGAGAGCAAGAACACTAAGGGGGGGATACTGTTATGTGCATGCTGCCAGCCTCTGTGTCACCTCAACCAACCACAAATTCAATCACACTAACCACTAGGCTCCAGCTGCTTCCCATTACCTACTAATTTCACTTCACTATTATCATTTCACATTCGTATTTCACATTGTAATATCTAGACCCCGAACTTGGTAGTGAATGTTAACATCAGAATCCAATAGAACTCGACTCGGAATTAGCTACTATTAATATATAAAGCCATGTATATCACTGTAACTACTCAGTTCAAATATCAACTTGGATAAGCCATCTACACTTCACACTCCAACTCCTCTCTATCTTGTCCATCGGATTCTGCTCTGAAGGATATTCCTGTTCACTTCTCTGACAGAACTCTGTTCCATCTATCCAGATCCTTAGGCTCCGACTCAAGAGTGATATTGCCAATAGCTTCATTGATGCCCACACACTCTGCTGGACTCCACACATGCACTCAAGCCCACTCGATTGGCACATTCCTAACATATTGCCAAAACTAAGGAATTGGTGCTGCAAGAATACTGATAGCCTAAAATAGGCAATGATATCACTACACACATCAAAGCATGTAAGATTTGTCAATAAGGCAAGTCATCAATGCAGGCCTGGGCCATACTGCTCTACCCAAATGAGGTTCCATCATCACCATGGACTCATATCTCTGTTGACATGATTATCAGACTCTCAGACTGTAACAGCTATGATGCAATCATCATTATAGTCAACTGATTCTCTAAAGCAATTATTCCAATCACCTGCTCAATGGAACTAACTTCTGAGGGATGGGCAAAGATTTTATATGATGAGATTTATGCCAAATATAGTATATCTCAAGTGGTTATCTCAGACAGAGGACCTCAATTTGTCTCCAAGTTCTTAGATGACCTTTATCATCTCCTAAACATTAAATAGAATGCATCAACTACATACCACTCTCAAACTGATGGGCAAATGGAGTGCACCAACCAAGAGATTGAAAAATACCTCTGCCTATTCATTAATTATTGACAGGACAATTGGGTGGAATGGCTGGCTCTTGCCAGCTTCCAACATAACAACTGAGTCCACTCAGTGACAGGAAAAACACCATTCTTTGTCAATCATGGTTGATACCCAAACATCACCCAGACTGAATGACACTGAACTACAACCCCAGCATCAACAGACTTTGCCACTACCATGGCCAAGATCCACTCAGAAACCAAAACTGCTCTTGAATGGGCTGCAGCTACAATGAAACAACAATATAATAAACACTATTATGCTGCATACACATACTCCATTAATGACAAGGTTTGGTTGGATACCATCAATCTTCACCTGCTGCATCCAAAATGCAAACTGGATGACAAGCACACTGGCTTCTTTCAAATACTTGCCAAAGTTGGAGCCAGTGCTTATAAACTCTGACTACCTCCTGCCTGGAAAATACACAATGTCTTCAATAAAGCATTGTTGACCCCTTATATTGCATTTGCCTTCTCTAATCAAAAACAACTGCCACCTCCATCCTCTAATCTTATTGATGACAAGAAACACTATAAAGTTGATCAGATTTTAAATCACAAACTATGAAAGATCAAAGCAAAGGGAGGTGGCATGACAACTACTGTCGATTACTTGGTCAGCTGGAAAGGCTATGATCTGGAGTCCAACCAGTGGGTGAATGAGAAGTTAATGAATGCTGATGATGCTATACAGGACTATGAATTATCTCTAAATTAAGCTATCAGGATAATGGTCTTAAGAAGAGGGTAATGTTATAATTTTTCCATTTCCTTTCCTGATTTAACCCCTATTTATGCTTAGTCAGAGTGCTAGAACAAGTGCTTAAGACCATGGGACAAAGCTTAGTCATCACAACTAGCCAAGTCTGTCATTGTCTTTTGATGCAACAGCATTACCCAACAATGCATAATTGCCTTTTTATATATAGTAACAATGCTTTAGGATAACAGGCACAATAGACTCAGAAACACACAATTAGTAGTAGTATTATTAGCAGACCTAATATAGTATTTAAGACCACTCACTTTCACTGGTAGCTTTGAGCTAAAGTTTATCTTCACACCATTCTATATTTGAGCTGATTTTTTTGATCTTGTGATATATCAGCTTGATTACATATCTGTGAACTTGATCATCTTACCTGAAGTGCAAGGTAACAATCATTTATCACATGTAATTAGCTCACATGATGCTTGGATCTAACAGAACCATCTTCTCATGCAGTATTATAGATGTTCAGACCATTTGTTTCAGTATATAGTCTGACTATTTTACTATAGCAAACAGGCATACAGTCTCACTGAGACCAACACTACCTCAGTAGGAGTCAGTGAGCAAGATTTCTCTCAACTGCTTTTATCAAAAGGCTGAGTTTTATTCTAGTTGGATCTGATTATGCTACAAAGCTTAATAGCTGGTAATACTTTGTTCTTCCTGTCTTGTTTTCCTTTTTTGAGAACTTATACACTATATGGATTCATACTCCCTCCCAATGATATTCTAATAATGAAAAATGATGTCAAGGCTGCCTCCAGAGATGCAGGTGAGATATGGCTTTGCAGCTCAAATATAATAAAAGGATACTTTAGGAATCCAGATCTGTTTCATGTCTTATATTCATTCAATCAACAGCTTATGATCACAATGCCACAGCTGCCACTGACAAGATAAGCAAAGCAAATATTGCTCACTCACTGTTCAGGGCTTATCTCTAATAAAGATTCTCACAAAAGATGGGTGGTTCAAGACTGGTAATCTAGACAGCATCAATGAAGAAGGTTATATCTATATCAAAGACAGGATTAAAGACATCAACATTCATGGTGGAGAGAACATCATAAGTGCTATATAACTATGAATGCCCTCAATTAGTAAAGAAGGGTGTGAAGGACTCTACTTCTGTAGAGAATGCCTTGTACACTGTGCCAGGCATGTTGGAGGCAGCAGCAGTGAGCATACCTGATGAGAGACTGAAAGAGTTGGTGACCACACTGATCACTATCAAGCTCAAATATCATAGACAGATTGATGAGAATAAACTTTTGGCTGTTACAGAAAAACTGTATGGGTGTCTTTTGTTTCTTGTTCAGATCAAGTATATGAGACTAACACATAGATAGATTATCCAAGTTTGCTGTTCTGGTGATGATCATTTTGTATAATAGAGAGTTTGGTATGTACTATTTGATGCTATATCAGGATATGTGTAAGTTTGAAGGATATAAAACAGATCATACACCATCTGGAAAGCTCATCAAGGCTCAACTATGACAAATAGCAAAACAGAAGTGGACACAAAGAATGAGAAAAGCTAGAGATTTTAATAGAGAAAAGTCCAAACTATAGAATAGGACAATAGGGCAATATTAGTAATGGGTCAACACTCTAGAGTCAAAGATGGCTCAAAACAAGGCTCTTTGATGCTGATGAATCACAGAATTACAGTGTCATCTTCTACTCTATCTGGCACAGAGTTGGAAGTGACTCATCTGTGGCTGAACAACTGTTAGGAACATGCCAATCAAGTGGGCTTGAGTGCATGTGCAGAGTCCAGCAGAGTGTGTGGGCATCAATGAAGCTATTGGCAATGTCACCCTTAAGTCAGAGCCTAAGAATCTGGATGGGCAGAACAGAGTTCCATCAGAGAAGCAAACTGGAATATCCTTTGGAGTGGAATCCAATAGACAAGGTAGAGAGGAGTTGAAGTGAGTGCAAAGTGTAGATGGCTTATCCAAGTTGACATTTGAACTGAGTAGTTATGATGATGTACATGGCTTTATATACTAATGGTAGCTAATTCCGAGTCAGGTTTCATTGGGTTCCAGTGTCAGTATTCACTACTGAGTTCAGGGTCTAGATATTACAATGTGAAATACAGATGTGAAATGATAATAGTGAAATAAAATTAGTAGGTAATGGGAAGTGGCCAGAGTCTGATGAGTAGTGTGATTGGATTCATGGTTGAGGTGACATGGAGACCAGCAGCATGTGCATAATAACAACCCACTATATACTTATTGGGCTAATTAAAAATTATTTCATGCTGTGCAGTGAATGTTTTGTTTCCCAAGCTTCTGTTAGACATTAAAGAACATTAGTGAATTCACCAAGGTTGAAGGTATCTGTGAAGTCTAGTCTGAAGTAGCTGTCTTAATATTGGATGCCAGATAGAATGTCAGCTTGGTAGCATATACTATAGAGCAGAGGACATTGCTAACCTAGACTGATGAAAGGAAAGTATAAGTTGCAAATTCACCTCCTAATAATGAATTTAAAGTTAATGGCAGAGACATGGTACTGGTATCAACAAATTGGTTACTTATTTGCAAGTCCATTCATACATGTGCTCTGGCAGAAATCAAAAAAGAAAAGATGTTTATATTCTGACAGGGAGGTTATCTATCTCTCAGGCATAATATGGCTGTTATGTGGTCACTGTAACTCATGCCAGAGATGTGCATCATATTAGTAGTTATATAATGATCTTGCCAAGATTTTTGATAGGACGGAGCGGTTTACAGTATAGCCGTATCCAGCTTTGATGTGACCCCTTAGCTCAGTGGTAGAGCGTGTGATTCCAGTCTGTATGTAATCAAGTGTTTTCAAGGTTTCCACAAGGTCAAGCGTTCAACTCGCTTAGGGGTCACTTTTTGTGCCTTGAGATGGCCAATATTCGTTTCAATCAAGCACGAGTTACGACGTTGTCGTCCCGGAACTTTTCCATATATAACTTTTTTGATAGTGTTGTTGGCGGGAAATTAAAGGCTTACGTTCGCCCTTTAGCAGGAAAATTTATTTTGAGTGTGGTATCTTACCGTTGCTTATTACTGCCAAGTTACCTATGCGAAATCGGAGCCGGTGGATGACCCTGTTGTAACCTGTACTCCTAATGCTTAGCATGGCGGGATGACTGGCACGAATTACGCCGGCCGTTTAACTGCCCGTACCAGCCAATTGATGTTTCGTTCGAGGGAATGTCACTTGTCCTCCTTCGATAGTATATATTTAGCGAAGAGACATGGAGCATATCCTCATACAACACGGCTTTCTTCAAAGATCTTAGATTTCTGGCTCCCTTTTTATCGTTTGCAGTCTTAGGTTCCTGCCATTTGTCCGGCCAATTATTTGTGGCACACACCTGACAACCGATATGCCACTATCACTTTTGTTCCCATTTAACTGCCAATTCTCATGCACAACACGCCACCCACTCTTCCTCCGATGTCTACAACACAAGTAGTAGCGTACAACTTACCGCAGATGTTGCGGCTCCTCGAGCTTGGGGAACTCCCTGATTTCGATTGTTCCCAGCGGCCCATCACACTGAAGCGCGTACAGTTCTCCGACGTGAACCAGATGGTGCATCTCCTTTCTCACTTCAAGTCATTCGAAAAGCTCTCCATCAGCGGAGTGGCCTTCGAAAAGGCTGACTCCAACAGCGTCAGACGTGTCCTCGATGAAGTCAAGGACCTCTGCATGAATTACAGAGACTCCCGCATCGCTCGCCGCAGTCTGATCCAAATTCTCCAATGCTGCCCTTCCCTCACTTCCTTAATGTTTCTCAATACCACCTTGCCACCGATCCTCACCGATTCGTGCCCGAAGGATGATACACTCCCACTCGCACAACGAGCGAGACCGACGAAGATCTCTATCTACACACTGCAGGCCATCCATTTCCGGGCCACCCTCAGGCCTGGAACAACTCCAACTCAAAAGTGGACTCCTCTGCTTCCAAAAACGAGTACGACGATTGTCGGTGGATGCGCGAACTCAGGGAGGTCCTCAGTGGGAGCAAAGGTCTTCGGTTGCTGGACATTGGGTTGGGATGATCATCCGAGCATTCCAGGCAGGGCATATCTCGATAAATACCTGACCGGCGAGCCCGACAAACTCGAGTTCCTGTGTGTGACCATCCACTCCAAAGATTCATGCTCCAAACAACTCCAGTGGCTCCGCATGTCTCTGCAACACAGCTATCGGGGGCATAAAAGTCGTTAGGATACATCTTGCACGGAGGCCAATCCCTAGAGGATTTCAAGGAATTTTATAACGATTGGTTCGACGTGGCCAAGGGGATCGTAGATAAGAAGTTGAAAGCCACGATAGAGATCCCGTTCCCAGTGCAAGGAGAGGCGATGGAAGTGATGACGAGTTGCCTAGAAAGTGGATTTGAGAAGGGACCAATACCCCACGATACCTGCTCAGTGACATTAAGACATGGTTCTCAAAGTTCGAGGATCAGGTGCTCCGCTCCCTCCGTCCTAGTAATGTTCTTCAGTTATATTCATCCGGAGATAGACAAATAAATGTCGTTTACACTGGGGGTCATTCGACTCTCAGCCTGAAAGAATAAGGGACAAATTGCCCGCTACAACCCATATATATATGGCATACCTGCAGTGTCATCCTGACATATTCAGTGACCTCTGGGCGGTCGGTATATGACCACCAAGAAGAACTAGAAAAGGATCACCTGATAGCAAAGACAGTCGAAAAGACGGTTAGAGAGGAGGCGAGGGCTGAAGAACTTAGCAAGTCCTTCTGGTATCAGAGCCATAGACAATGAGGAAGAGAGTCTCGAGTGCGGACTTGATTCTGGAAAATTCCATGTTGTATGTTTATTCTTACGCAGCGTCAATGTACTTCTCTATGAATCATGAGATAACGTGGAAAAGGACGGTTCTGCCCAATCAGTTCACCGGAGCGAAGAATTTTAGGCGACCAATGTTGACCAAAGCGAAGTGTCGTTGCTCACCACGAATCATCAACGCAAATTATCCAGCAAGGGATACCATTGTCGACATATCATCCTTGCAGTTGAGTAGCACCATCGTCAAAGAAAAAGGAGAGCTGCAAACCCACACCTTTTGAGGGAACATCAAATCTAGTACATAAGCGATTACATACATACACACCGAGGTACATACCGGTTACAACAAAAAATAGCACATAAATTATTCGACTACGAAAGCTGTTCAAAGCCAAAAAAAAATATAAAAAATCCTAGCACCCCCACCCGCCCATCATCGCTCTTGGGGCCCGCGGCGCCCCTGGAATGGTCATCGCACGTGGGGCCCTGGGAACTGGTATCGGTATCGGTGTAGACATCGTTCTTAGTGACGGCTCCTCCTCTTCTTGCTTAATCACAACAGGTGTTGGCCCATCCCTCTCCCCCACTTTCTTCTTCTCTCGCTCCTTCTTCCAATCATCCAGCGTCATCTTCCGACGTTTCTGTGGCGAGCTGGGGTTTGGCTCGGATTTCATTGGGGACAGTGATTTTGAAACGATTGGTGGAGGTGATGGCGGGGACGGAGGAGAATGGGAGGAGAATAACTGAGACCTGACCGTTGGAGAAGCCGGCAATGGGAATGAAGCGGGAGAGTTGTGTGATGGCGGCGTCTTGGGTGATACAAGGAACAAGCCGGGGATATCAGGTGAGGGGGTCCTCATCACAGGCGACGGCGATGTAAGACGCGCCAGTGGCTCCGTATCCGGTTCCTTCCTTTTCTTTCCAGGACTCATGACAGTTGGCTCCACTACCGGGATATTAGGCGTTGGCAGTGGCAAATCAACTGTCATCCCCTCAGGCGTTTCTAGAGGTGGGGTATCTGGTGTGGAATCAGGAGATTCTTTCGCTCGCGGCTGTCGTTTGGGCAACGAAGGTCGTCGAGGAGCTTCTGCGAGTACAGAGCGGCCGTTGTCGACCCTTTGTGGTTGGGGACTGTCATCAATTTGAACAAGTGAAGGTGATTGCGACTGTTTGCGCGATCTTCGCTTGGGCAAAGGGGGCCGCACAGGACCATCGGACATGGGAGTATTCGAGGAGCTGCGTACCGTTGGGGGAGAATCGACAGACATGCTTTCAAATGTCTCTGCACCCAACATGTCCGACGTCAAACCAGGCGATTTTGGCCTTCTCCTCGAAAGCGCCGGTACTGATAAAGTCGGCAGGGAATCGTGGGCCGAAGATAACGTCGTCGAATCGTCACCCCTAAACACGGGAGACGTTAATGACAGCTTTGCGAAAGCGTCTGTTGGGCTTAAGGGCGACGGCGACGTTGGCTTGCGTGCTTGGCCTTTCCTCATCTTGGGTGGTACTACCCCTTCTTGCCCTGTCCTTTTCTCTGCGAGTGAAACCTCCCTCAGCTCCTTCTGCTTCTGCTTTCCCTTCCCTGGCACAATCTCGACGCCACCCCGCTCCCTGGCCCTGGTCTTGAATCCTCTCTGTTTCCCGACGAGCGGACCTAGGTTGCCAGCCTTCCAATCGCCCCTGCGCATCGCCTCGAGTGCACAGCCCATTCTACCGTCGCATGCGCAAGTCATGAACGCTCCCTCCAGAGCGTCGACAGCTTCGACTTTCCCCTCTTCGCCGCCATGAATGGGATGAGCATCATCCCATTCCCATCCTAGGACTATCTCATCCCCGGCACTCAGCTCTTGCATAGCATATACGCCCCAACCACCGTCTTCACTTGCATGTATTTCGGCATTGGGATAACACCCAGAACGAATCCACCGAGCGGCATTGCCAGCAAGCCGCGCATCGAGGGCCACACCACAATCGTCGGAGTGATCATGAGAAGGAATGAGATGAACAAATACTCTCGGGACTCGAGCATACGCGTACCCGTTTAGTGGATCCTCCACGTAGGACCGGGCACTGGTGACCACTGAGAGATAAGATATAAGAAATGTTCCTGGACTGACGTGCTGGGCGGTATGCAACGTATATGTCGGTGGAAGGACGGAATCAGGCGGGGAAGGTAAATGCAACAGGTATGTAAGGTGGGGGTCCGGCGCTGCTGGGGGACTTGAATGTGGCGTAGGCGAATGGTTGGGGGAATGCAGCCGCAGAATATCCTGCTCTATACGAACGTATGTCTGCCGTTCTTCTTCTTCGTCTACCTCGTCGCCTCGGCATCTGCTCCCGCCTTCTCCCTTGCATACCCAGCAACGCCACTCATCGGGCTCGTTGACTCCGGCGTAAATCCCAAAGCATGCGGCATGGCACCATCTAAGCAGGACAAAGGTGTTGCAAACCGATTTAAGAATAAAATTTTCACAGAGAAATAGTAAAAGAAAAGGCTTGTGAGCGCAAGCTGAAAGAAAGAGGTGCAGCTCACCTCAAGCAGTCCTCGCAACCAATACTGAACCCGAACCCATCATCGTGCGGCAGCTCACATATACACCTAAGCGTAGGGTCGTCGGGAGAGAATATTTGCTTGGTCGTCGTCGAGGCAGAAACACGGGGGGAAGAAGAGGAAGCGCGGGGCGAACTGTGATGGGATGTAATTGTGGTGCCGTTACCGTTCTTGCTGATGGCTGAGCTTGACGAGCTTCTTGAGTAGTCATAGTCGTGCATCACAGGGATGGGCTCGCATAAATGCAGTCGTCGTTCTCGTTATCGGGGGAATATGGGTGAAAGAGGGAAAACAACAAGGACGCACGGGCCAACAAGCCGCTATCCATCCAATGACAAATTCGTATTACATTCTGCTAGTTGCCGAGGTTACCGCCGGCCGAATGCCTGCCGAATGCCTTAGCGTGCTGATGCTTGTGAACAAGGCTCGCTAATAAATAAAGAAGGCTCTGATTATGACTATGATTATGGTCAACCATAGATACACTTGTTTTGGTATCTGCACTAAGGGCGCTTATTCGAAGCAACCCACAAGCCTCATGCAGCCTACTTCAGGCTGCGACTTTCTTCTTTTGCTCCTCCCTCGGTCGTTGTGGAGCCTTCAAAACAGGTCTAAGAACATCGCCAGTGATCCCAGGATCATAGCTATGCACCCATCCGTTCAGCCAGGTCCTGGGGGGTTTCCGCCCGGAAACTTCGATTCATGCGTCGTTCAGGAGGGAAGGTCGTCTCCTTGCGGTGTTGGAGGAGCACTGCACCCCTCCAACAGCAAAGCACCATCTCACCAGGACGCTGCGATATCCCTCTTCCACTGGGCGGAATCGTCATTGATCTGGTCATCGCCTTGTCCTTTTCGGGCTCTCAGCCTTCTTCCCCAAGTCCCTCCAACAATCTCTGAGCCGATTGTCCAAGGCCATCAGAGCAACGCTTGACGGCAACTTTTTCGTTGACACCAAATTCATGCTTTCTACGCACAAATGGGGACAAACGTCCGTATGTAACCGCCGTCTCATTTATGCAAGCGGCAGCATTTTGAAGGACCATAGCTCGTTCCTGGACAGATCTGAGTTTTCTCTATCCGGCTTTCTTTCGTGAATGCTAATATATATCCTCTTTCTAACTATCAGTGGTACTGACCACGCAGATAATTGTAGTTTCGGAGGTTCTTATTTGAGTGGCGTCTGCGAGTATACCTATGATAAAGACAGTGATCTCGAATCTGACTCGGACGAAGATGCCTGCGACACTCCCGCAACGTCTGACAGCATTACCGGAGAACCGAAATCCAAATCACATTCCCGTGCCCTATCTCCCACGAATACTTCAGATCCGGATATCGTCCAATCCGCACTACCTGCATCTCCTAGCGGTGAAAAGGCAGCATCGAATTTCGACATCGACGCCGATTCGCCATCAGTCTCTGCCACATCTCACAAAAATTCACCAACCAAAAATGGTTCTCATGTCTCATTGTACTACAGCAAATCTGATAGTATCTTCCTTTCTGAGTATGAGAACGCAGAAGTATCTCCCATCTGTGATGAATCTATGAGTCGGTCTGCGGAGGTTATAAATCATCGTGTGGAAGACTACCTGGCCAACAGAGCAGAGCCTGAAGAGAAAGCTCCACACCTGGCATTGGTCAATGACGTGGCTTTCAGGACCTCTGCAGTAATTGACGTCAATCCCTTTCAGTTTCCAAGCCTTGATAGTGTATATGTATACCAAGGAGATCGCTTTCGTCCAGCTCAAATCCAGCGGTGGGCGCTGTACAACGTCAGCGATGCCTGTTCTCCGAAATCTATGTATCGCCTTGCAGTCAAAGTCCGATGCTAGCCCTTTCTTCCATCGGAGTGTTTGAACCTGTATGTTCTAGGCTAGCCATGAAGATCTAAAGAAACACGCATTCGAAAATTTACGCTCTCAGCTCGGGCCTGGAAACATTATCACAGAGATCTTCCCAAAGTTTACCAAACAGTATATCGTTATCCTCAACTTTTTGTCACGGGATATCCTGACATGTTCGTCGTTGTAGTCACCCAGAGGTATTCGAAATGGAACTAAACAACTTGCTAGACCATTCACCACTCCTACGGTATGGAAAGAATGGGAAGGGACGATAGACGTTGTGGCAGGCGGTCAACTTCCACGTGGTGCTGAAGTTTTTTAAAGAGAGTGACTCGCGCCTTGGGCTCTTGATTCCTCACCATTGTCCAATAATACTTCAAACCCCGGTGTACTTCATGTATGTCTTGCGTATTTTAGTTCATTGGAAATAAACGACAGACCCGTTCAGCCTTGACGATGACTCCCTTGGACACTGAGCAGACAGAGTGTATTAGAAACTATTTTTACATCATCTTCACTTCCGACATGTAGACAAGAAAATGTTCGGACCCATCAGACGCTCACGCGTCATCTCTCGCTTCTTCCATTCTGACCCACAAACCGGCCTATTGAACCAAAGTCATTTCAAGACCCAACGCCAGATGCCTTCACAAGACTGACCTTAGCATACATCGTCAAATGTAACCCAAACATGATCTTATCTCTCCCTTTGGTCGTTCCGGGAGTCTTGGTCCAATTCTTGGGAGGAATCCCTTCGGCAGGCTGAGCATCCGGAGCAAGACGGAAAGAAGAGAACGTCTGCAACAGTCGAATAAGATAGTACGAAGCCTCGTTATAAGCGAACTAATGGGGGGTGGAGATCAGGTCCGTCTCAATCTGAACGCTCACAAAGGGCTCTCACCTGTTGGCCAAGGCAGATTCTTGGGCCGGCATTGAAGGGAACGAATATAAATGGGTTCCGAGTCAAATACTTATGCAAACGTTGATCGAGGAATCGATCCGGGTCAAATTCGAGGGCTGGGGGTTAGATGAGAATCAGCAAGATGGCGGTAGCAATGTGCTCTTCTTCCATACCATCTGGTCCCCATAAATCCGTCCGTCGATGCATCAAGAAGACAGAATAGATTATCCTGTGGTAACGCGTCGACCGTTCAGAGTAATTTAGGGGAATAGGAATGAAGCACTGCTAACCTTGTGCCGTCTGGAATATAATATGGTGCGCCTCCCTTGTTCGGAAGTGTAGTTGTCACTTTCGACATGCTAGTGCGCGGAGCGTTATGACATGGTCCAGGAAGGGAAGATGCAGGCTTACCGGCTGTTCATTGGCCTGAAAACCCATGTGTGTCAGTGTCTCTCGGTCTCAGAACAATAATTTACATACACAGGTGGATATAGTCTTAAAATCTCTACAGAGAGATAGTCAGAAACAACTGAAATAGAATCACCGGTGACCGCACCATTCAGGAATGCTCTCAGATATTTCATATCACGAATGTCCTCGAAAGTAGGTGTCTTTGTACCAACCTTCTCGAGGATCTCCGATCGTAAGCGAGTGGCCACTTCCGGATGTTCGGACATCATATATACCGCGAAAGTCAAAAGAGAGGCCGTCTACATTGACGCTATCCATAAGTACATTCAGAGAAAGCACCCCACAGGCTTACAGTGTCTCTACCAGCAACCAAGATGTTTACAAGCTCATCTCGAATGAGCTTGGTATCTATAGTCATATGTATCGGTAATCCTCATCTTTGGCTGGGAGAAAACGACACGTACCATCGGTATTCTCCACAAGACGGGTCAGCAAGGATACGCCCTCATCGAAGTCCTTCTTATCCTCCACCGGATTGTCGCCTCGAGCCTTGATATTGAGCGCCTCGACAAGAAGAGGCTCGACGAACTCATTGACGACTTGCCGAAGTGGCTTGACTGCATCCGCCCAGAATTCGAGAAGTGGCCAGTACTTCCCTCTCTGAAGACGAATAGCACTCTGCTCTTGTGCTGCTGCAAATGCTTTGAGGAAAACGTTAGACGGGTGATTGACAAAATGGGGGTTGTTGGCCAACGGAGATCCAGCCGGGTAAGGGAGGCCTGCAGATGACGAATTGACATCTTTTCCAAAGAGATACTCGGTAGCGGAATCGAGAGTGAAGCGAGCGACAGCATCCTATCGTTGTTATGAGAAGAGTGATGTAGAGAGATCGCTTTGGGGCACTAACCTGGAAATCGACGGGATATCCTTCTCTCAGTCTCGATTTGATCTGGGAGATCATGCTGACGGCGTGTTTTTCGAAGTTTTCAAAATCGGAAATTCGATCCTTGTTGAAGAGAGGCCTCGTCATTGTTCGATGAAACCTTGTGGGATGTTTACCGCAAGCGGATGGAGAGCTCGAATATACTTACTTCCAAGTATCGTCTGTTGTACAGTGGGTGAGCATGTGGAGCTAAATGAGAAAAAAGTTCTCACCATCTGAGTTAAAAACACCTGAACCAAGAAGAGAATCCGCAGCAACATAGAATATATGGCCTAGGGTTGCAAGTCGGTAACCAAATAATAAACCCGAAATGGCTAGCAGCGACAAACCTTTTTCAAAGTCTTGGAATTGAGTCGCCAGGATGGCCTGAACGTGTCAATTAGCGGGATACAACAAGAGGTTATTACGTGTGATAACGTACTTTAACGTGCTCTGGCTCAACTGTGAACATCTCGTGTATCCGTCAGAACGAAAGTCACAAACAGACTGCACTGTGACTTACTCGTCTTTCTGAGAAAGAATTGAAAGTAAAGGTGTTTCCGTATTCTTCACTCCACTTCTGGAATATTTCAACTATAAATTGCAATCCAATCGTTAGCTCGAAACACCTCCCATAGTCCAAACTTAAACACACGCGGGTATCCATTCCTAAAGCTGTGTAGCACTTGTCGCAAGATGGAAATACTGCTTCCCTGAACGCTCGGAACCATGAAAGCGCCTTGCGCAGCGGCATGCCTTTTAATACGAAAGCTCATGAAGCAGTTGTGAGCCACCGCGAAGACAATCTGTGAAGCCAAGGGGACTACAAGGCAAAACCATAAAGGAAGACTGAGACCGGCCAAGATTTGGAAAACCCAGAAAGTCGAAGACGGGACGATAGTCACAAAGAAAAGAGTTCGGAACAGGAATACCAATCCGGGTGGTAGATAGCTGGTAGTCATAATGGGCGAGAATGAGAATTGACCAGCAACCACTCTCCTTACATATAGTGGCGAACAATCACGGTTCATCGCTGCCACGGCCAGACAGATAGTAATATGATGTGACTGAATGCATCAAAGCCCGGATAATGTATCTCCGGAATCCGTGCATCCGTCCAGTTCTCGCTTCGATATGAATTCTGAATTCTCGTCATGAGCGGTCGTTGGGTGGGGAAAGCCAACTTCCGGCTCTAAACAATACCGAAATCCGGTTACTGGCTACAGACGATTGGTCCAAAATTCCAGCCCTGAAAAAATAAATTTGTTTACGGAAAGCCATGAGAACAGGGAGCAGTCATTTTGCCAGACGATGGTTGTTTGGGTAAAAAATCACGATCAGCCACGTGTACTCGATCAAACCCTATTTGTTTCCGAGCGTTCACTGTGTGGACACTGGCGTGTAATGCTACCTACCTACCTACCTACCGAGTCCTAAATCATTAATTTGTCGATCAGACTCTAACGAGATTTGCCATTGAAATATTGACTACCGAGCGACGTAAAACTTTTCTCTAATCGAACATTCCCTGTCTGATTGTCAGTATAGCAATGACTAATAACTAATTTCTCGTCCCCGATCAATGCCGCATGCGACGAACTGTCGGAGCAGATGGCCTCTATAAATATGACATGGCGTGTTAGACCTGTTGAGATTCGGTTTTCACGGCTTTAATGTCACATTCTATTTATATATATTTACTGCTTACCTTATACTTTGACATTTTCGTACCTATCGACTTGACTCGGAACCCCCACTGTTCTTACTCTGTACGACGGAATATATCTTCCTTTCGAGTCCATTACGCCTCTATCCGAATCATTAACACCTAAATTCCAATAAGACTGGCAGTGGTTAACACATGGTGAATGCAGAAATTTTTGTATTTACCTGCCTGTACATAAGGTTTTTGATGAAAAACAAGACTTACTGGTAGTGGTAAAGGTTCAAGAAGCACTTGAATTGTTCACGAAATGTAAGATATTAGATTCGAATTCATTTTGTCGTAAAAAAGTTCTAAAAACAAAGATTCAGGAATAACTCGTGATGAAAGCCCCCGTTTGGAGTAGACTTTCGGCAGATGGCAAACCTCTGGTTCCAGGCGGGCCGGGTTGCATGCCTAGATATTTGGTTACGGTTGCCGAACTCAGGCAAACAGCACCATCTTCTTTCTTCACGCGATGGACCAAGCGACAGCCTCTACGTCGCACAATGCTCCGCGAGCGTATCTATTTGGTTTCGATATCCCTGCGGATCACAAGATGCCTGATCTGGCCCTGGTTCGCAACCAAGCAGCTAAGGGTGATTTTTTCGCTCTCTAATGTCTCTGTGCCTTGCCTGACCAGTGACAATGAACAGTTACCGAACTCATGCGAGCTCCGATACCACCTCAAGTTTTTGTTCAAAATAATAGAGGCGAGGCTATAGGTCCCCTTCCACCGGCGTTGTGGTACAATTCTAGGCTTCCTGAGCTCTTTCAGTTCAGCTACCTTTGCTCTGTCGAAGATGGTAAGTCTCACTGTATTTCTAGACATATTTCTTTCTTATATCGTATAGTTCCAGAAGATATTTTACCACAATGTATTTGGTCTCTCGAATGGATGATTCGTGCCTTTCTGGAAGCCTCGGACGAGCAACTGAAGATATTCGCTCATCTCGCGCCGCAAGGGCAAGGTCATGGTATATCGACAGAGACGGAACGGTACCTCACGGTGAAGCGTTGCACTGTAGAATGCAAATTTCTCTATATCCTTATTGATTACATAGCTTCAAAATATCCGATCCAAGCTAGCCGAGCACTTTCTGTGAGTATTTCCTCCCGCGTAATACTTCACCTCTGATTTCTTGGCAATTAAATTCTAGTAAACCGCAAATCAACCAACCACTGGAAGCTCTCCGCCATATTCGATGTTCCATGGAGGCAGACAAGGAGCGCAGTGGAAAGTCTGATATATTCGATGTAAACCCGTGCGTATCCGCAATCGTAGCCGCCGCATCTCCATAGTGACCATGTTGTAAAAGGGGGCTATATGTGTCGTTTGCTGTATGCCTCGCGCGTGCAGGAACAGACGACACTGAAGCAAAAGAAGCGCTATCACGTATCATTCACGGTACAACATCCGAGTCAGGCTTTGGAACTATGGCGCATTGCGTCGAAGCAAAGGTATATCTCGCCCGTGTTCTTCGGAGACTTGGGGAAGACGACGAAGCGCATAAACTGTATGTGGAGTGGTCGTGACCTCTATGACGCTGCCTGATAAGTCCATTAGGGAGATATGGCTGGTCAGATGGTTCAAGAAGCATCCATATGAACTCAGTGATACCGTTTTGGTACATATGTTCACTACTGGCATCGAGCCAGCCACGGATCCGGTTTTCACAGACCTTGGCGGATCAGAGTGGCTGGATCATAGAAAGGCGACATTGAAAACGGTAATACGTCAAAGTAAAAACTGCCGAAGCTGCGGCGCTCGTGAACCCAAAGTGAAATTGACGCAATGCTCCCAATGCCACCATATATTTTACTGGTCAGTGGTAACTCGTTTTCTTCCGGAATATGTAATCCTGAAATAATGGTTCGAAGTTCCAAAGAGTGCCAGAGAATGAACTGGCCCTACCATAAGTATATTTTCCATTATATTTGCTTTATAAAAGTGCTCATGACGTACCTGAAATACAGGGTATCCTGCAGGTGAACATATCGGCTTGATCACTAGATATGATATTAACTTTGACGGTTTCAGAGAGGCTGCTGCATATTTCAAGAGAACAGCAGAGGTTGAGAGGACCAACGCTTTCGCAGGACAACGATTCCGAGACTGGATGAATTATAGACGCAATCCTAGGTCTGAAACATTAGAGTCCTTTGCGCATGCTCTTGGATTAGCGCGCGATGCATCACGAGGCCGAACACACATCGTATATCAGGACGTCAAATACGTCCCGTCCGTACAGAATCTGCTCGACAAGTTCAGAACCACAGGCGTTGGAGTTTTCAAGCTCGAAGATGTCTGGCAAGACCTTGAATTCAGGATGGGCCTAGATCCTGGCGAGGGGAAGGTGTACATCTGCGAGATGCTCGAGGAGTTTGAACCTGGGAAAGGGCGGGCCGGAGAACCATACATTCCCATCTTTAGTTTGATGTTCTCGGCCACAAATGATGTCGAAGTGTATCTTAGAATCGGTGCGTTGTTTCTCTGTCTTGAAGATCTCTTGTGACGTTGCTTCCCAATTTCAGACAGTATTTCACGAAGCACAGTAGCATCCATGCGACCCAACCCAGACTGGAGATGCGATGTGAATGTGAAAGGTGAACCTCCCGTTCATATCAAGTTAGGAGATGGAAAGATTCTGGATGCGGAATTTAATTTTTGAAGGTATAGCCGCCAAACTATAGTCGTCGACTATGCCAAAAGCTGTTATGGATTTCCGCATCGATGGAATTCCTGGAAGTCTCCAGTCGCTTGAAGCCGTTTCTTTTCCTTTCTATCTCTTTCTGCACTTTTTCTTACTCAGCCTAACGAACTCGTTATGACTCAATGACTTCACGAAACTTGTCAAACCTTCTAGTAACACCCATTTGTATATAACCATAGCTACGAAACTTGTACTAGGTATCAAATTCTCACTACCTATCTTGAACCCTACACTTTGCGTGACCTCAAGCAATGGAAACTAAGCTTCGCGCTAGTCTGCTAACCTATTTCAAGATACCAGTAAGATTACCTCGAGCTCACTCGAACCCATACTTCACTCACGGATACCATCTTCTCACGAGTCACGCTCATGCTCTTATTCTCTTACTCCTCGTACCTCGACTACTAAACCCTTGCTCTATCAATTAGCTATGGTATCCAACGTCTACAACAAAAGCGGCTAATGTTGATACATTTAGTTTAGAATGGAAAGTGCAGGAGGAGATAGTAACTTTGTTGAGGGCAAAAATAAATGTTCTGTTGCCAAAAGTTGATGAGTACGCGCGGTATAGACGATGCCAAGAGAAATGGCAGGCGACGCGTAAATAACGCCGAGCAACGAGGCCACGTAAGCCCAGAATGTGACGCGCATCCTGGCAAAAGCAACGCGTAAGCAGAAAGGTCGAGGACGCTTAAACCAGGAAGACCAAAAAATAGGGTAAGTAGATATTATATAAAGCCGTGAGCCGTTTAGAATGTAACCGTGACTGTACACGCAAGGGTTCCATCGTTTCACAAGTCTTGTAAATATCTTGTTCAGCTACAGGTGTCAGATTCCGTTGGTTGATTTCGCCATGGGTTACTGTTTTACCATGCCTCAGGGGGCTGGTCCATTTGTCGAGTGAATATTCTCCTCACGTTCTACTGGAAGAGAGGGAGCGTAAAAAGTGATATAACCGTCCATACGATGGGAACGCCGCCTCGTTGCAGAACCAGTATACAACATTGACATTTACTAACAGGATGAAAAGAGCAGAGGGTACAAGATACAAGTACATTTCGAATTGGCGCAGGTGCTCAAATCCACCAGACTCTCACGCGACATCATGCGCTTCTTCCATTCTGACCCACAAACCGCCCTATCGAACCAAGGTCATTTCAAGACTGAAAGCCAGATGCTTTACAAGACCAACCTTAGCATACATCGTCAAATGTAACCCAAACATGATCTTGTCTCTCCCTTTGGTCGTCCCGGGAGTCTTGGTCCAACTCTTGGGAGGAATTCCTTCAGCAGGTTGGGCATCCATGGCGAGGCTGAAAGAAGAGAACGTTTGCAGGAGTCGAATAAGATAGTATGAAGCCTCGTTATAAGCGAACTAAAAAGAACATTTAGGAAACACGCAATGAATATGGCTTCGAGACGAATTGTCCTTACCTGTTGGCCAAGGCAGATTCTTGGGCCTGCATTGAAGGGAACGAATATGAATGGGTTTGGGGTCAAATACTTCTGCAGACGTTGATCGATGAATCTATCCGGGTCAAATTCAAGAGCTAGTATTACATGTAAATCAACAAAGTGGTGGCAGCGATATGATTCTCCTACCGTCCGGCCCCCATAAATCTGTCCGTCGATGCATCAAGAATACAGAATAATTCACCCTGTAGTATCGCATCTACAGGTTCAAGTGGATTCAAGGTAATAGCAGAGAAGCACGAACACAGTATCGTTCGGAACGTAATATGGCGCGCGTCCTTTGTTCGGGAGAGTAGTGGCCACTTTTGACCAACTAGAACGTGAGAGTGTTATAACAAACCCGAGAAGAAGCGATTAAACTGACCGGTTATTTATGGGGCTGATGTTCCACATGTTGAGCAGGTTTCAATTCCACAAAACTGGTTCACCTACACAGCTGGATACAATCGTAAAAGCTCTGCATAGAAATCATCAGAAACGCCTTAAATGGACATATCGGTGACCGCACCATTCAGGAATGCTCTCAGATATTTCATATCACGAATGTCCTCGTATGTGGGTGTCCTTGTACCAACCTTCTCGAGGATCTCCGACCGTAAGCGAGCGGTCACTTTCGGATGTTCGGACATCTTATATACCGCGAAAGTCAAAAGGGAGGCCGTCTACATTGACGCTATCCATAAGTACATTCAGAGAAAGCACCCCACAGGCTTACAGTGTCTCTACCAGCGGCCAGGACATTCACAAGTTCATCTCGAATGAGCTTGGTATCTATAGTCATCTGTATCGGTAATCCTCATCTTTGGCTGGGAGAAAACGACACATACCATCGGTATTCTCCACAAGACGGGTCAGCAAGGACACGCCCTCATCGAAGTCCTTCTTATCCTCCACCGGATTGTCGCCTCGAGCCTTGATATTGAGCGCCTCGACAAGAAGAGGCTCGACGAACTCATTGACGACTTGCCGAAGTGGCTTGACTGCATCCGCCCAGAATTCGAAAAGCGGCCAATACTTCCCCGTCTGAAGACGAATAGCACTCTTCTCTTGTGCCGCTGCGAATGCGTCGAGGAAAGCGTTAGATGGGTGATTGACAAAATGGGGGTTGTCGGCTAACGGAGATCCAGCCGGATAAGGAAGTCCTGCAGATATCGTATTGACATCTTTTCCAAAGAGATACTCGGTAGCGGAATCGAGAGTGAAGCGAGCGACAATATCCTATCGGTGCTATGAGAAGAGTGATGTACGGAAATATCCTTTGGGACACTAACCTGGAAATTGACGGGATATCCTTCCCTCAATCTCGATTTGATCTGGGAGATCGTGCTGGTGGCGTGTTTTTCGAAGTTTTCAAAATCGGAAATTCGATCCTTGCTGAAGAGCGGCCTCGTCATTGTCCGATGAAACCTGATGGGATGTTTAGCACAAGGATATGGACAGCTCAAAGTACACTCACTTCCAAGTATCACCTGTAGCACATCAACTCTGATCAATCATGTATGTAGCATTGATGTGGGAAAAACTCTCACCATCTGAATTAAAAATGCCTGCACCAAGCAGAGACTCCGCAGCATCATAGAAGGTGCGGCCTAGAGTTCAATGTCACTAACGAAATTATAACTTGATGAGTGACCCCAAACCTTTTACAAAGTCGTCAAATTGAGTTGCTAGGATGGCCTGAACCCAGCGATCAGAGGAATACAATACAAGTGTGAAGTAATCGTAACCTACCTTGACGTGTTCTGGCTCCGTCGTAAACATCTTGCGTAGCTGTTAGAATGGGAAACACGAACAGGCTATGATGTTACTCACCCCTTTGCCCGAAAAAGAGTTGAAAGTAAAGGTGTTTCCATATTCTTCGCTCCACTTCTGTAATACTTCACCTAACAGCAGCCGATTAGCTTGAAGTCCTTCTCAGAAGTCTAAATGATAACAAACCCGGATATCCATTCCTGAAGCCGTCAGACAATTTCCGCAAGTTAGATGTGCTGCTTCCTCGAACGCAGGGCGCCATGATAGCGCCCTGTGCAGCGGCATCCCTTTCGGCGGTAACACCCGTGAACCAGTTGTGAACCACGGCAAACAATAGTTGCGTGGCTAAAGGAACGACAAACCAAAACCATGAAGGAAGAGCGAAACCGGACTCTCGCAAGAAGCTTTGGAGAGCCCAAAAAGTTGAACAGGGAACTATCGCAAGGAAGAAAATAGTTCTGGACAGAAAGACAAAGCTGGGCGATAGGTAGATAGTAGCCATGATGAGCGAGGACGAGGCGAGGCCAGTAAGGACTTTATTTATATAGTTGCGAATGATACTGAGGCTGACGATCTCCCATGGCCCGTGGAATGCAAGTAATCTGAATGACTTAATGCATCAACACTGTATGGGGGAACTTAGTAACTGACACCTCGTCATGATTGCATGAATGGCGCAGGTGGAGAAAGGCTGGAAATAGCCAGTTTCCGGCTGCAAGCAATACCGAAACCCGGTCACTGGCCACAGATGGTTGGGCCAAGAAGTTGACGCTGAAAAATAAACGGAAAGCCATGAGAATAAGAAGTAGTCCCTTGCTAAAATCAATGAGACTTACGCGACATGGGGTTACGCATAAATTTTGCGAAAGAAGCTTTGTTCACGTTCCCGTCCACGTCTAGGCGGAGCCCGGTAAGCTCCTACAGGAAAATTTAGTCTAGCATGAAGATATGCACTTGTTCAACCAGTTTTCCGCCTCTGCCTGTCTATTTGCGGCACTGTGCACATTCTTTACACCCAGACTCTGACTTTCAGTTGAACGCAAAAAAAATATTCTCTAGGGCAGCCAAAATATATCCTTTCTGATTGTCTGGGGGGCAAATCACCAATAACCAGTGCATCGAAGAATCAATGACGGTGCCACCGTCGAGTTTGTGATTTAGTGCGATGCCACTACGGTCCCGGTTTCGCATCATCGATAATTTCTTGTTAGTCATCCGAGGGGGATTGTTTTTGGACTGGTGTGACTCGGGAAAACTGAACACTGGTACTGGTTCCGCCCTCTAATTCGTTTCCAACCGACTGTTCCATCAACACGCTCTGTTCCCACCCGCATCACAAAGCATGATCTCGATTGCTCAGGCGATAGACCTAGCTGACAGCCTCTGCCTCACAAAATATTCCACAGGTATACTTAGGGGACAGCTTCGAAGTCGCTGTGAATTAGAACTTGAAGATGCCTGATCTATCCTTGGTTCGGAGCCAGATCATTTGCGCTACCTGATATCTCTATACCTTGTTCTGACTTGTGACAATGAATAGTTACCCAACTCGTGCGAGCTCTGATGCTGCCTCGAATTTTTGTTCGTAATACTAGAGGCGAGGCTCAGTATAGACCTCCGTCCACCGGCGTTGTGGTACAGGTCTAATCTTCTTGGGCTCTTTCAGTTCAGCTATTTCTTCTCTGTCGAAGACGGTATGTTTAATTCAACTTCCAGATATACGTCTCTTTACTACGGAGTGCAAGTCCAGAAGATATTTACCGCATTATATTTAGTCTCCCAAATAATGGGCTCGTGTCTTTCTGGAAGCCTCGGATGAGAAACTGAAGACATCCGTTTATCTCAGGCTGCACGGGCAGGATATAAACAAGGAAGGCCACGGTACATCTCGGCGAAACGTTCTACTACAGGGTGCAGATTTATTCTACGCTTACTGATTACATAGCTTAGGGTTTGTCGGTCCAAGCTCTCCCAGCGGATGCACACAAGGAGCGCAGTGTACAGCGAAGGTCTAGCAAGATCGCCTCTATGGTCGTCATGACGTCGGGACGGAGAAGCGAAGGGCCAGATAAAACAAGAAAAGAAGCAAAGTGAATGGACACTCCTAAATATTCTCGTTCCTCATTAGGATCCGATAAACAGGCAACCATCACTACCTAGGTTCTCGCCTTATTAAAGACTCAACGGGAGAGAAATGTTGGTGAATTTGTAACTCAATGCAACGCCTAGGCGGTCCCGGCTTCGCATCATTCATTGGGGATTGCCTTTCAGTTGTTTGGAGAGGATACTGACGTGACTGGTGTGGAATACTGGTTCTACAGCTTCTAATTTTATGAGTCATCTGAAGACTCATTCCGGACCTACTCTGATCCAACGACGTACTCCGTTTCCCGCCCGCACCACAAACCATCATCTTGATTGCTCACGCGATGGACCTAGTGAGAGCCTCTGACCTTACAGGCACTGTCGATGAGGCACTGGATCGGGCAGTGAATAACCCGCCTTCCCGCCCATCCCTCGAAAAAAAAACTTGTACAGCCCAGAAAAATAATTTTTGATGATTTGCTGTCGCCTCCCGACCCACGCGCTGCCTATTTTCGCTGGATGTGATCATGCATAACTTGAGTATATAAAACCGTGGGAAAATATCATTCCCAATGCGGTAGTAGCTCTGTTGGCTATGAAAGCTAGGTAAAATTCTGCATTGTGCATGGATCATTTAGGCTTTATGTAATTGTAATACATGTATTTGATATATATAATGCTTAATGAACTATGATTACTGCCATATAGCTGATACGTGTTGGGATTTTGCTGGAAAGCTCTAGAAAGGGCAATCCGGCATCATGCCGAGCGTTGATGAGTAAGCCCGAGAGAAAGAGAAAGTCGTAGTAAATTCTAGATATAAGTCTGGAGAGTATAAATACAAGCTCTGTAGGAGCTGCAGAATAAGGAGTTCATACCTTCTGGCCTTACCAGCCTGGAGTCTACCCTGCGCATCACCGAGGATTCCCAACAATACGCAAACAGAAACATATTACTTCGACCATTTTCGGAATTTGCCGGGATCATCCAATTGAGGCCGTAGGATACAGCACCCTTGCAATCCCATCCTCCTGGTATTCACGCGAATCATCTAAACCAGAAAATATGGAGACAGGATGCGAACTTATAATCAGCCATTAAGAGAGGACTATTGCATGATTCGCTAATGTCAACGTATTTAATTTGGGAAGCGGTATTACATGGTTCTATTGACGGGTATGTATACGTATGTATGCATGCGAATGCTGATAAGTAATAATTTACAAGTGGTAGTCCTTGTGGGAGCCAGCGAGGTTCAGAAAGATGTACATCTCATCTTGTACACCCGTATCCCGCGCGCCCCAAGTGGTTACCGCGTTATGCAATGGATGATTTCGCAACGGTTTACTGTTTCATTTACACGGCCTTGGGCTGGCTCACTTGACGCGTCAACATCCTCCTCGCATTCCACTGGAAGAGAGGAAGCGTGAAGAGTGAAACGATCGTCCACGCGATAAGAACACCAAAGTGGAGGCCAACTAAGGGAGTGGTTAGCATAACCCACGTTGACAAAGAATAGCCCCACATACGTTGATTTTTCGTACCAAACAGAATAGTCCGGATCGCGCCCGAAACGTTGTAGAAAGGGTACGCGTAGCCGTAGCGGTAGAAATGGGGGAGAACTTCGATGGGCATGAAGCACACCGCGACGTTGGCTGGAAAGGTTATCGGTCAGTCGTGGAACAAGATGGTGGGGATGCAAACGTACTAATGACCCAAGTGATCATGAAGAATGGCATATACCTTGGCGTCAAGAGCGTGATCATAGCCTCAAGTGCAAGCCCCACGGAGAGCATGCCGACGAAGTTGACCATCCAAAAGATCACGAAGCCAGCAGAGCCGAATCTAGTAGGAGAAAATGTTAGGTTAGATAAGGGGACAGTCAGAAGGCTCACTTTCTGTCAAAGTTTACTTGGAACGCACGGCTGACCGTAGAGTAGAAGAGCGATATCATGAAGTAGAGCGCCAACGTTGAAACCAGGCGGACTTTAATAAGCGACTTGGTTGTGAGCTTCATTTCGATTCCAGAGGCCAGGCGGGCACCGGAACCAATGATCTGGGCGTAAAGTGAGGACAATGAACTCGAACACAAAGGCTTGGACTCACGACGATGAAGAAGCACAAAACTAGTAGGTAGATGAGACCAACAAAGGTGATAGCACTCGCGCTGAGGAAGCGGTCAGAAGGTAGTTTGTGACATAATACAGGAGAAGCTTACACAGGGACGTCGAATGGCCGCAAATTATCGATGGTGTAGCTGACAGGCTGGGTGATTATTTGTGGGGCAGACTGGAGGATCGACGCGATAGACGAGGATGAAGAGTTGGCCAGCTGTGTAGCAAAGGTGTGGGCAAAGCTCTGCGAAATCGTATCCATGGTCGTTGTGATATAGGGACGAAGAAGTGAACGGCTGAACAACATGAGCAAAGAAACAAACGAGGTGAACGAACACTCACAATGCATTCTCGTTCCTAGCTTCGTCGGCGTAGACAGTAAGTGCCTGTGTACCATTATAGGACGAGTTAACGGATGAAGCAGCCGAATTGAGGGTCGAAGTGGCGTTGGCATGAACTATCCATGCACAAGGTTAAGATGAAGATAAATAGGAGAACCAAGATACTTACTAACGACAGCCATCCAAACTCTTTGTTCTACGACTGAGTTACCCACTTCATCCGGCCCCGAGAAATGTGACGCCGGCATTTGCTTCCAGGAGATCCTTGACGTGGACGCAGTATCAGAAAGAAGCGTATTAGCGACTGTGCTGCCGATAGTCGACCCGTCGAAGTCCTGAAAGTTAACGGTGAGACATGGAGTAGACGAAAACAAGAACCAGCCTACGACGACCCATCCCGGTAGTTTATGGTCCGGAAGCTTCCATAGCGCACCCCAATATATCGAGAAGACGCTGAACATGAGGACAACCATGGATAAACATCCTACAACCAAACTCTTGATGTAGGCTTTCCTCTGCGCTGCCAGCTCCCGATCGGTGAACTCGTTCGAGAAAAGTATGGGAGTCGCAGGCTGCTCTTCGTGGACAGTGACGATGCTGGCGGAGTCTGCCATCTTTGGAATGAGCGGGGAAGAATGACGATATCGGTGATGCGTTCTTCACGTCGCTTAAATATCCCTCAGCCATCCGATTCGGATAAATCACACTGATCTTCCGTCGGTAAGGGCGGTAATGGCCGATGCGTCCCCGAGTCGGAGTAGTGACCAACAAAGGAAATTCTGACAAAGGAAATTTGACTAATAACCGATAGCGTAATCGGCGATTAATGATTGATTTCTCATCATATTGCGAAGCAATTGAGTCGGTAAATCGTGAACACTGATATGATAGAGGGAAAGGATGATGTCGGTGACGAGTGAAGAGGCGCGCCCGATTTTCTGCGCCGAGCCCGAAATCTGGCACACTAAAATTGGTCCGTGCGTCGACGGTCCATGCGGCAGACAAAGGCGCCGGGATGCGGGGATGGCACAATCACACGCTCGAACAACTGTCGCCACAACGACGACTCGGTTTTGGCGCCAATCACAGATTCTATCACCGACTCGGAGGAGGCACGTCGAAGTCACCCTGCGAATCGATTGTTCCTGTACCCGTTTCCTGTGTCTTAAGGGCAATCGTCAACCGAGTCCGACATCTTTGCCAGTTTCAAAGTCGAGCTCTGCCCACTTGTACTCCATTTCCCCTCTACCAAGGATCTCAGTCGCTCAGCCATCTCCTGGTTCCCCTCAGTCCTTTCCGCAGGAAAATGGAAAGGTTATTCCCACGAGAATAGCTGATTCTCACTTCCGAGACAGTGCATGCGTGCCATGGGGCTCCTGCCCTAAGTAGCCCAATCTTTTTCAGCTGGGCGCCGAAGTCCGTGGGAAGCGTGATTGCGTGATTGCGACGTGTCGGAAGGGCATATGAGCTATGGATTCATGTTTTAACGGGAGGCGGAGAACCATCATGCGTTACGGTACGGCGAACAGTGCTGATCAATGATGGAGAGGGAACTTTCCACAGCTCATATGCTGCGCTATCGGAACGGGGTCTGGAAAATATTACGAGGTTTCCAGTGATTGCTAGATCGAAAGCAAACCTCCCATTCGAAATTATGAATTCGCTCAGGTTGCCGCAGAGGATTGACGACAGATCGCTGTTTGGAACTGTCAAAACGGTTCTGTATCAACCACCATTTCGTCGAGAAGCAACCAAAGACTATACCTCTGTTTCCTGCGACCAGCAGCGGCGGCATAATATCGACCGTCATGCATCGCGGTCGAGTTCAAGAGAACGAACATCTTGAAACATCACGAAAGCATGATTTTGATCCGTTTTTCGTTCCAATATGACCACTAATCAACAATCAACATATGAACGCAAAGCTACTGCGGGAAATGATGGATTTGCTGTGTCAAACCGAATGAGCATGACACATATAGCTAACCACAGAAACTCACACTCACCACCGAGTCCAAAGACCTCACGAAATTCAGCCTTTTTATCTTGAATTCCAATACCAAAGAAGCTCCCAGTCCGTGCAATCTTCATTTATGGAACCTCTACCGTGGAGATTGCTTCATAGTCCTCGTATATCCAGGATTCACGTAATAGGCGTTCTCGAGTCCCAGCATGGAGCATCTTCCTACGGCGGAGTAGATGGTGGTACGAGCGTACGAGCTTTTGAGCGGCGATTGCCGCTTTCTGTGCACGTGCTTTTTCAATGACCCCCAATTATCCCTATGGAGGTCGGTACGCCAAATTCGCGAGTTTCAAGAATTTGTCCGAACTTTTGTTCCGACCTCTAAAAAATTGTAAAAACTTGCCAAGTACAGATGTACAGATGTCTGATTGCCGTGCAGTTAATGATCGATATTCAGCTCGTCGTTGTCAAGAGCTCGAGACCTGTTGAAGAGTTTGTTTTTTGCTCAGTCGTGAAAGCTGATTGTCTGCAATGACACACCAGAGTTCATCTGGCTAATTATTTAAGATAACAATAACTTAGTAAGGCACAGATCTAAACTGGTATGTGGCACCCAATGTGTCATATGTCGGAACAGATGGATCTGTCTTCTTTTGTCTGAACAAAAAATCTGACCTACAACGTAAGACGGGTCAATTTATCTGGACTTTGTGCTGACCTTAGTCAATAGGGATATTGAGAATGCCAAATCCGTCCAAACTTTCCGATTGACGACGACCTCTGTAGGGATAATGGAGGGTCCTGTCCAACCCTGTCCAGCCACTGCCCTGCACCAGCTGAAGTGTTGGTAAGAATCGCGGGCCACGGCAACACCAGCTGAGCAACGGAAAGTGAGTAATTACTTTTTAAATAAATGTGATGCAGCCTACTATTAACAAGGATGGCAGGTTTATTTGCTACACCATCGATCTCATCGGATATTAAGGCATGACAATGTGTAAATCTGACCCTGCGGCAGTTAACGTTGACCTGATACCATACCAAGGTCAAAATCTCACAGTACACTCGCCCTGTACGTCTACTATTAATTATGCTCACATTTATATTTCATTGTCATGCTTGGGGAAAGCGGCGCGCCTGGGAGATCCGGTACCCTGACCAGTCCGAGTCCCTCGAATTCGAGCCTTAGAGAACAGCCTTCCGAGTGGCAGATGCTGCGTACTTAATGAGATCCCGAGCTTAAATGGCATTGACGGCATACCTTCTTTCAAATTGAATGGATATAAGTCACGGGCATCTCCATTTTGTTTCCGCTTGCAGCTGTTTGCTTTCCGGTACGTGCAATAAAACTCAACGGGTAACTGGTAACAGGCTTCAGTCCAACCATGGCTGCCAACTATCTACCTCCTGGATTTGCCTATCTATCCCCAGATATTCTTCCCCTTGCCATTCCATGCGTCGCTATCTGTGTTATTCAATATGTCTGGGGCTCTCAGTTTTCCGTCATGGCTATGCTTTCTCGTTCCTCTGTTCCTACATCCTCTCTCTGTTCGATCTCGTATCTACTTCACAAACTTTATCGTCAGCAGAGATGTTGCTACACGGAATGCCCTTATAGTTCCGACCATCCAGGAAAGCAGTATCTCAATCTTACGGCGTATCGTGCGCAGCGTCAAGCATAGATATCCGGGTTTGTGATAGCGCACTCTCTTAGACGTTCTATTAGTTAACATGCAGGTTGTTAGACGAAGCGTTTCATGACTGGAGCGAAAAATACGGAAGCACTTTCTCTTTCACCTTCTTTTCGGACACAAGGGTGAGCGACTTCCCATCTGGTCCATGGATCTCCATTCAAAGAGCAGCATATTCCACTAGGTTTTTACAACTGAGATAGAGCACATCAAGGTATGTTAACACCAATAATCTATCCGGAGATGGCTGCTCGCTTACGATCGGAGATTCTTGAAAAAGTTGGTCCCGGACACCCTCTTGCGAAGACATCCGTGGAATGCAATATTTATGAACGTTTCTCGACGGCACCACAGTTGCCATATCATGCAGCGCGCTAACTTTTCTATTCGTTTAGAGACCTTACGGCTGTATCCACCGATGTATATGGAGTTACTCCCTCCAGTGTAAACAACTAACCCTGTCGGCTTCCAGCCCAGTAAACGCTCGGTACGGCATTCTTTGTTGGGCACCTATAAGCAAGACTCATTCACACCTAGTTCGTCGAAAGTTGCAACCACCCTTCCGAATATAGGACGTGAACCTTACTATATTCCAGAGTATAGAGGGTTGGTTTCAATTACCTTGAGACCGTCTGAACACTTATTCCAAAATGATAAACTCCGTATTCTTGATGCATCGTCGGACGGATTTATGGGGACCGGACGGTGAGATGAAATACCTTACCAGCGCTGATTCTTTCCTTCCTCGAATTTGGCCCGGACCGGTTTCTTGACAGTCGCCTATACAAGTATCTAACCCCTAATCCGTACATATTCGCTCCCTTCGGCGCAGGTCCGAGGATCTGCCTTGGCCAACAGGTAAGGACGAGCACTTCTCAGGCCCCATTTAAGAAGCATTCAAGCTTTATGCTAGTTTACCTGCAATGAAGCTTCGTACTACCTCATTCGACTCCTGCAAACATTCTTCTCTTTCAGTCTTGCCCTGGATGCTCAGCCTGCTGAGGATATTCCGCCGAAGACTTGGACCAGAGCTCCCGGGACGAGCGAAGGCCGGGATAGGATCATGCTCGGGACGCATGTGTTGCTGTATGCTAAGGTATGATTCAGTGTTAGACGTAAGCTTGGGTGGACTTTTCTTGCTTAGGGTGATCTATGGGTCAGGATGGAAGAAGCCAACGACGAGACGACGCTGTGACTGCCAATTATTGACGATGACTATATTTGTACGACGAGCATGCCTCTGACTTCGGCAGGCTTTTCTGCGGTTTTGATAATAACCGCGCCCAGACATAACAATTAGAGAATTTACGCGAAGGTCCAATATAACATGTATTTTGATCAGCAGAGAGACAGCATAGTAGGTATACCGTAACAAGAGAAATCCGAACGCTCTTGAACTTTGAGTGAGTTAACAGATACAACGTGAGGTCCAGCACGCCATCTTGGTGAAGGAGTTGGCGGCGCGTAGTCAAATTGGAACGACCTATATTGTACAACTTTTGATACATCTTGGATCAATTATAATGCTTGACCACAACACCATTAATAACTTCTTCTTCGATTCTCTCCTCTCCCTCCGCCTTCTTAAGCTGGCTTTTCCCATATGCTGCCGTCCTTCCCTTACGCCAATCTTCCATCGTCGGCGCGTCCGCATCCACAAATCGGCGGACTTTGTTACCGACCAAAGGAAGAAGCTTTACATTATCGTCGGGCATGCAAAAATAGAATACACAGAGGCGAGGGTATCCTCGTTGGTCTTTGGGAGGTTGTACGACCCTACTCGGCAAGTCAGAAAAGAGTTGTCTCGGTAAGAACGAAGGCATACCGATGGATCGTCGAACGATATGCGCCTCCTGACAAGAACTCAAGAGAGTCTCCGGCGTTGATGACCTGTTTCAATGTCATCGATGGTAGAATAACTTTAGAAGGGGATGGACCTGCCAATGCGTTTTCAATGTGTTTCACCCACTTCCATTCCCCCGAGGGTGTGAGTATCTGTAACGCCGACACGGGCTGGCTATACAGGATGGTGATCGAGCCGGTATCTACGAGAGCGTCAGTTTCATTCAGTTGAAGTTTGGCGCTGGACATACCAGTGTGTCCTTTGAGCCAGACGCTCTTCGTCTTTTCCTCGTCCTCGTCGGAGTGAGGATAACTAATGCCAAATGAGTGTAGTTGACAGGGGAAACAGAGAGAAGTGCCTAACTATTTCATAAACCGTACTAGCGACAGAGGTCATCACTGAATGGGACGAACGCAGAAGCAAACGTCTTACCGTAAGTCTCACTGACAGAGGAATACCCGTGTATATTCACAAATGCATCTTCTTGAAGACCAAGGCCCAGTGCTAGGAGACTTGATTGACAAGTAAGAAAGACACCAAATGAAGAGAGCAAAAAATACGCAACCGTAAAATGGGATGAAGAACATTTAGGTGGTTGTGTCGTGCAAACTTTTCAATTTCGACGAGGTACGGTCGCAAAGCTTCGGGATGCGGTCGTTTCGTTATATCTCGATGAACTGGCACACATAGAATAAGCTCGAAGAACAATATGGGTGGGGAAACCCACTGTTGTACATTTCGACTTCATCTTGTACCCCGTTGTCGACGTGCTTCCTGAATATGAATTTAGATGTCAAGATAAAAGTATATGGTTCACCTACCCAGTACTTCCGAAGCTTGTACCCCTGGTATGATCCAGTCTGTTGAATGGCTGCATCGTAGTGCCGTTTTTTGTCGTCACTAACGTTAGAGAATGGAAGGTCGGCAATGTCAAAGATTCGTTGATTCTAGTGCACGCTTCAATAAGCAAGATAATTGGTCTGCGATACTGACCATACCGCAATGGGTGATAATCCGTGCCCAACAACGTAGAGGAATCCATGGGTCTGCATAGCTTCGCGTACGTCATCTGGACGCGGCGACTTGGATAGGTCAATTACTGGGAGGTCGGCATAGTCCACTGCGAGCAATAAGTAATATTCAACCTGTATACTATGCACTTACACGGCTCCTGGGTGACCTGTGGTGGGAAATAGTGGTTGACTGTCATGGTGGGAGATAAGGATTCTGGTATTGGGAGAACGGCGCAATAAGTATGTGCAGCATCGTGAGAGAAGCCCGGGATCTCAGAAATCTCAGGTTAGTAGAGATCCACGATATAAACAAAAGATATGAGTAAATTATAGATTAGCAACATATGACGGCGGCATACCAGTCATAGGATGCTGCTATATGCAACACATGCATCTGTTACGTGTAAGTGTGAGAATGAGAACAGAAGCGAGACAGAAATTGTTATCAGCTGCTCAGTGTGTGATATCATGGTGCTGCATGTATTTTTGAAACAAAGAGAAGGGAAAGATATACCACCTGCGGTGGAAAGTTGTTGGAAGTATAAAGGAACGCTCGGAACGTTGGAACAGCGTCACGGTCTGGGTTCGAATCGTGACGCGTGAACGTCACGTGCATGAAGGCCACTAGGTACTGGGAGGCAGGCATCAGCTTGCAAGGTAAGTTCTTCATCAATTTTTTAGTAGGTCTTATAACAAAAAAATCCGAACGCTCTTGAACTTTGAGCGAGTTAACAGACACAACGTGAGGTCCAGCACGCCATCTTGGTGAAGGAGTTGATGGCGCGTAATCAAGCTGGAACGACCTATATTGTACAATTTTTGATACATCTTGGATCAATTATAATGCTTGACCACAACGCCATGAATAACTTCTTCTTCGATTCTCTCCTCTCCCTCCGCCTTCTTAAACTGGCTTTTCCCATATGCTGCCGTCCTTCCCTTACGCCAATCTTCCATCGTCGGCGCGTCCGCATCCACAGATCGGCAGGCTTTGTCACCGATCAGAGGGAGGAGCTTTACATTATCGTCGGGCATGCAAAAATAGAATACACAGAGGCGAGGGTATCCTCGTTGGTCTTTGGGAGGTTGTACGACCCTACTCGGCAAGTCAGAAAAGAGTTGTCTCGGTAAGAACGAAGGCATACCGATGGATCGTCGAACGATATGCGCCTCCTGACAAGAACTCAAGAGAGTCTCCGGCGTTGATGACCTGTTTCAATGTCATCGATGGTAGAATAACTTTAGAAGGGGATGGACCTGCCAATGCGTTTTCAATGTGTTTCACCCACTTCCATTCCCCCGAGGGTGTGAGTATCTGTAACGCCGACACGGGCTGGCTATACAGGATGGTGATCGAGCCGAAATCTACGAAAATGTCAGTTTCATTCAGTTGAAGTCCAGTGCTGGACATACCAGTGTGTCCTTTGAGCCAGACGCTTTTCGTCTTTCCCTCGTCCTCGGCGGAATGAGGATAACTAAAGTCAAATGAGTGCATTTTGTGAGGGGTATTAAGTTGGAGGTGCTTAACTATTTCATGAACCGCACTAATGAATGCAAAGGTCGTCCATGAATGGATTGAACGGAGAAGCAAACGTCTCACCGTAAGTTTCCCCAACAGAAGAATATCTGTGTATATCCACAAGTGCATCTTCTGGAAGACGGAGGCCCAGTGCAAGGAGGCTTGGTTTTCAAGCAAGTAAGACTCGGATGCTAGGTGAAGACAGAAAAGGATACGGAACCGTAAAATGGGATGAAGAACATTTAGGTGGTTATGTCGTGCAAATGCTTCAATTTCTGCAAGGTAAGGTCGCACGGCTTCGGGATGTTGACGTTTCGTTATATCTCGATTAACTTGTATATCTATAGTAAGTGTAAAGAAAAAGATGGGCATGAAACCTACTGTTGTACGTCTCAACTTCGTCTTGTACACCGTTGTCGAGGTGCTTCCAGAATAGGAATTTAAACAGGAAGATACAAGTATATGGTTCACCTACCCAGTACTTCCGAAGCTTATACCCCTGGTAGGATCCGGTCTGCTGAATCGTTGCCTCGTACTGCCGTTTTTCTTCATCACTAACGTTAGAGAATGGAAGGTCGGCAATGTCAAAGATTCGCTGATTCTAGTACATCTTTTAATAAGCAAAGATAATTAGTCTAAAATAGTGACCATACCTCAGCCAGTGATAATCCATGACCAACAACGTAGAAGAATCCATGGGTCTGCATAGCTTCGCGTACGTCATCTGGATGCGGCGGCTTGGATAGGTCAATTATTGGGAGGTCGGCATAGTCCACTGCCAGTAATGAGTATTGTTCAATCGGTATACTATGCACTTACACAGCTCCTGGGTAATCTGTGGTGGGGAATAGTGGTTGACTGTCATGGTGGGAGATAAGAGTTCCGGTGATGGAAGAATGGCGCAATACGTAGGTACAGCGTCGTGAGAGATGTCTGGGATATCAGACATTCAAATTAGGAAATCCAGTCTCTTTACTTCAATCCCACTGTGAACTTGGGTTTGTGGGGTTTGTCCAAGCCGATGGAAGCACTTGAACTTGAATTTCTTTACACGGCCAATTGGCGGCGTCGCACCTAGACATCTACAAGACATAACCAAAAGATGTGAGTATATTGTAAATTAGCAACATATAACGGCGTCATACCAGTCATAGGATGCTGCTGTACACAACATATGCATCTGTTACGTGTAAGTGTGAGAACGAAAACAGAAGCGAGACGACGATTGTTCAGCTGCTCAATGTGTGATATCATGGTGCTGCATGTATTTTGGAAAGAAACGAGAGAGGAAAGATATACCACCTGCAGTGGAAAGTTGTTGGAAAGTAGAGAAGGAACGCTGGAACGGAGGTCCGGGTTCGGATCGCGACCAGACGCGCGAACATCACGTGCACGAATTCTTTGTCCCTTCGGGACCTGAAGACTCGACTTCGACTAAATTAAACAGAAAGCAAGTCGGCAGCAAGGTACCCCGATGCACTGTATAAGCCCTAGCATACGTTGCCTAGTTATTCACTTTGAAATTGCGTAGATATTGATACACCTCATTAGTTGTAATGCTTCGTCACAACTCCAGCGACGACTTCTTCCTCGACCCTCTCTTCTCCTTCAGCCTTTCTCAACTGGGTCTTTCCATACGCAGCGATCCTCCCTTTTCGCCACTCTCCCATGGTCGGGGCGTCCGCATCCACAAATCGCCGACTCAGGACTTTGTTGTCAACCAAAGGGAGGAGCTTCACGTTGTCGTCTGGCATGGCGAAATAAAATACTCCGAGACGTGGGCACCCTTGCTGGTCCTGAGGTGGCTGAACGACCCTGCGTAGCAGTAAACACTCTGATGTCAAGGTAAGGTCATGGGCATACCGATGGATCGTAGAGCGAAAAACCTCTCCTGATAGAAATTCGAGCGCATCTCCAGCATTAATGACCTATTCTCATTAGCAGAATATCCTATGGCTTAGATCGGGATACGCACCAGTGCGTTCTCAATATGTTTCACCCACTTCCAATCCCCCGAGGGTGTAAGGATTTGCAACGCCGACACGGGCTGACTGTACAGGATGGTGATTGAACCAAAATCTACGGATATCAGTAGGATTCAGCCGTAAGAGAAGGCTAGATGTACCAGTGTGCCCTTTAAGCCAAACATTCTTCGTCTTTTTATTGTCCTCGGTCGAATGAGGATAACTTATACCAGATCGGTGAGCTCACAGACGAAATATAGAAATGGCAACTCAACTATTTCATAAACCTCACTAAATATTTAATATTCTGAGTAATGTGAGCGAATTTAACAACTATAAATCTCACAAAATGTTTCTCCAACAGATGAGTATCCGTGAATATCCACGAGGGCATTTTCTGGCAGGCCAAAACTCAGTGCGAGGAGTCTGTAGGAGAACATAAGAAAGATGGGCAATACGAAAGTACGGAACAAACCGCAGAATGGGATGAAGAACATTGAAGTGATTGTGCTTCATGAATGTTTCGATCTCTCCAAGGTATGGACGCAGGCATTCGGGATGCTGTCGCATGGTAACATCTCGGTGGACTGGAAGACTCCAGATGAGTAGAAAGCGAATAATTACTAAGAAGACATACAATTGTAATGCTCAATTTGATCTTTCACACCGTTGTCAATGTGCTACGACTCAGACAGTTAAAATTTGAAAGGTCAGACATAAACACAGCAAGTGGACCTTACCCAGTACTGTCGGAGTTTATATCCCTGGTAGGAGCCTGTCTGCATCATTTCCGCCTCATAATGCCGCTTTTCTTCATCGTTGACGACAGAGAATGGGATGTCAGCAATGTCAAAGATTCGTTGGTTCTATCGGATGGCAGCAATTAGTGATAAATAGAAAATCCTGAAAGAGAACATGTAGATACCTCGGCGAATGATAAGCCATGCCCAACAACGTAGAAGAATCCATACGTCTGCATAGCTTCACGTACTTCATCTGGACGCGGTGCCTTGGATAGGTCAATTATTGGAAGGTCAGCATAGTCCACTGCTAGACGTAAGTATTATTCAGTAAGCATATCGTGTACATACGAGGCTCTTCGGTAGCCGGTGGCTGAATGTAGTGCTCAACTTCAATAGCCATCCTCGTAGGTGATAAAGAGAGCTCGTGAGATGAAAAAGGGATCCATAAGTATTTACGATTTCGTGAGAGCAGCGAAGCGTTTCCGAAGAATCGCGAGTAACTTCAGCGTTCTCTTCTCCTCGTGATCCCGTGATTCGTGATCTTCCCACCCAAAAAAAAACCCTGAGGATATTGTTATCATCCATATCCAAACCCGTGTTGTGCACTTATGCATAAGGCCTATGTATACCACCACGAACACCATGGGAGCTTGGACAGTTAGCGGCTGGCGCTGAATGATCAAGTTTGGTGGTAATTGCAATCGTTCCTAGACGTTGAAGACCTCCGAAAGAGATCTTTAAAAAAAGCTGCTCAGCACCATATGACACGTCATGCCCTTGTCATGACTAATAAGAATCCACAGCAGCACCAACCATTAGTCACTAACGAAAGACGGCAAAGGTACAATGGGCGGCATCGTCCAGGCGGTATCTGGCATGAGAAAGCACGGGCCGTGAATTGGACACTCAGATAACGTACAGGTCGCGGGATCAAGAAGGACTTTCAAAAAAAGAGGAAACCAGCATTGGAATTTACTTACTCACATGAGTGAAGCAGAGATACGAATACGAGCGAGCCGATAACGCGCAGTGGCCATTCACAAAGTTCCCCCATCCTTCGCTTCTTCCATCCTGACCCATAACCCACCCTGACAGGCCAAGGTCAGTTCGAGATCTTGGATACCTAAGAATCTCAAAAATCTTACCTTTGCGTATATTGTGATATGTACACCGAACATAATCTTTTCCCTGCCTTTGGTCGTTCCGGGTGTAGGGGTCCAGCTTTCCGGAGGAATGCCTTCTGCAGGTTGCACATCCCGAGCGAGGCTGAATGACGAGAAACTCTGTAAGAGTCGGATGAGGTAGTAGGAAGCCTCGGTATAGGCAAACTTACGAATAATATTAACAATGTGTCAGATGTCAGATAAAGACGCTCTCACCTGTTGACCGAGGCAAATTCTAGGACCCGCATTGAAGGGTAGAAAGATGTAAGGATTAGGAGTTAGATATTTCTGCAACCGGCCATCGAGGAACCGATCAGGGTCAAATTCGAGGGCTGGAGATCTGGGTTAGGATCGCATAAGTGGTAGGATCTCAAATATCATACCATCCGGTCCCCACAAATCTGTACGCCGATGCATCAGAAACACAGAGTAAGTCAGCCTGTTAAAGCGCAGTAAGAGGTGTATTCAGTCTCCAAAAAAGGAACAATAGGGTACTAACAACGTATCTCGTGCAACGTAATACGGTGCGCGCCCCTTGTTTGGAAGGGTAGTTGCCACGGTGGATACCCTAGTATGCGAACCAGCTATAAGAAACATTAGGAAGGAGCGATGATATATCTTACCGCCCACTTTCTGGCCTATAGATGGACGTTAGCCACTTTCAAATTTCAAAACCGGCCAATTGACATACACAGTTGCATACAGCCGCAAGGTTTCTAGATATAGTCATCAGCGATAACTTGAATGCAGCGGTAATAAACCACTGAACCATTGAGAAACGCCCGTAAGTACTTCATATCACGAATGTCCTCATATGTCGGTCTCCTGGTGCCAACTTTCCCGAGAATTTCGGACCGTAAGCGGGTGACCATGTCCGGATGCTCACACATCATATACACTGCCATAGTCATAAAAGAAGCAGTCTGCACGAATACCATCAATGAGTTCATGTTTGAAAGAGTCCAATCGAAGAGCTTACTGAGTCTCTACCAGCCACCAAAACATTGACAAGTTCGTCCTGAACAACTTTGGGATCTACAGGCACGTTAAATCAACAAATGTAACTTCAACTATGGAGCGTTGTTTACCATCAGCTTCCTCCACGAGACGATCCAACAAAGTCATGTCCTCGAGGTTCTTCTCGGACCCGACTGGCTTGACACCTTTAGCCTTCCTCTCGTACCCTTCAGAGAGCAGTGGCTCGATGAAATCATTAAGGACTTGCCGTAATGGCTTCACCTTATCTCGTAATAATTCACGAAGTGGCCAAGAAGGCCCACTCTTGATACGAACCATGGTATGCTCTTGCGCCCTCGCAAACGCCTTAACAAAGGCATTCGACGGATGATTGACGAAATGTAGATTATCCGCCAATGGCGATCCAGCTGGGTAAGGAAGACCTGCAGATATGGAGTTGACATCTTTTCCGAACAGGAACTCCGTGGCAGAGTCTAACGTAAAACGAGCAACAACGTCCTATGCTCGATGTTAGACAGTGATTTTGAGGAATAGCGGGCTCTGACCTGGAAATCGAGGGGATAGCCTTCCCTCAGCCTCTCTTTGATCTGGGTGATCGTGCTAACGGCATGTCTCTCGAAGTTATCGAAATCGGAAATTCGGTCTTTGTTGAAGAAAGGTTTTGTCATCGTCCGATGAAACCTGATTGGAAGATAGCATGAAAAATAGGCTCATAGTGTTAAGGGTGCACCTAAAGCTCACTTCCACATGTCGCCTGTTAGAGCTAAGTGAATGGTAGCCTCGTATACAGCATAAAAGTCTCACCATCCATACTAAATACACCTACACCAAAAAGAGCTTTCATAGCGTTGAAAACAGTGGAGCCTAGAGACATTGGTCAATAAGGGTTGATACCTCACTAGTGACAATAGACACCTTTTTCAAAGTCGCGAAACTGCGTCGCTAAGATCGCCTACATATATCGATGAGAGTGTGAGTAACGTAACTACCAAAGATAGCTTACTTTGATATGCTCTGGCTCTGTTGTAAAGACCTCGCGTATGTGTCAGGAGGAAGTATGGGCAGGTTTCCAAAGCCACTTACCCATTTGGAGGAAAGAGTGCCGAACGAAAAGGTGTTTCCATATCGTTCGCTCCGCTTTTGGAACACCTCGCCTAATGCCCTGTTTGTCAGCTGAAAGCACGGCAAAGTTAAACTAGAACGAACTAGGGTATCCATTTTTGAAGTTGTCCACGATGCGCCGCATGATAGAAATACTGCTTTCCTGAACACCGGGCATGAAGATGGCACCTTTCGCAGCTGCATCCCTACGGATGGCGAAACCCATGTACCAGCTATGTACCAGGCGAACGATAACCTGTAATACGAAAGGAACGACGAAGACAAGCCACGCAGGGATGCTGAAACCAGACTCCGTCAAGATGTGCCGGAGCGCCCAGAGAGCTGCGCATGGGAGAATTACAACGGAGAAAGCAAGATGATATAAGTAGACAATTCCCGGAGGTAAGTAGTTGGTAGCCATAGTCGACAATGGCATCAAGCACAAGAGGAACACCATTCTTATATACTTGTCGGAGGATAATCTTGATGACTTCATCTGTAAAAACTCGGGAGTTTATTCCGCTGCCACGCTTTTATCTGCACCCTGGATTCCATCTAGAAAAGGTGCTTAGGCAGGCAAAGTTGTGCACTCTAATTGATTAGATTAAAGTCGTCTGAGTCCACTTCTTCAGCTGTCACAGCGAGACGAAAAGACAGTGATAAAAATTGCTTGAACATTGCACTCAGTGCCGTCAAATAGATAGGTTTGCTATATTCCTTCATCAGTACTCGTTTGCACCCTGTTGGCGCTTACGTGTATGCTATTGGCCTTAGTGCACATGGCCATCTTGGATGACAGAGAATCATCCTTGATTGTCCCATTTGGCCCGTGCTTCGCTAAAAAGCCATCAGCCCGGTTTCCGAGTACGACAAACGATAATGACTCTGCTCCAAACTTCGGAGCGACTCACAACCGCCTCCAGAAGGTCGTCTGAGACTTTCGACTGTCAGAAAGGAAGAAGTCCAGTTCTGGGCTATGTCCCGGAAGTATCTGTTGTACGTAGACAATAGGATGTCCTAATACAATGGCAGCTTATTATAAAAACTGAAGTTCCAAGTTCAAGAATGATGAACGCTTCTTCCTTGGCATCTTCCATCCTGACCCACAACCCACCCTAACAAGCAAGCGAACAGTCAGTTCAAAACCGTTTACACGTAGGATCTCCCCACGACAGACATTGGTATGCAGCATGATATGTATCCCAAACATGATCTTTTCCCTGCATTTGGTCGTCCCCGGAGCGCGTGCCTAGTCTTTTGGGGAAATAAATACCTTCAGGAGGTTGTGCATCCATAGCGCGTCTGTCGGATTCGTCGAGATTTGGCAGCTATTGGACGACGCATCAAACACCACTGCTGTGCCTCACATCGACCTCGTCGACGGAGGGTGCTGAGCAAATGCAGTTTGGTATGACTGAGAGGGATGATAATTTGATGTATACAGACTTTGCGGCGTGCGCCACAATTAGATGAGCTTATTGTCTCACAGTGAGACTTACGACACCACAGCCACCTGGCTCCATGTGCGCAGTGAGACCTCTCGGAAATAAATCATTTCTCTTGTCAGAGACTCTGAATTGGAGAGAATTTCGCATGTCCGCAACTGTTTCTAAGTCAATGTGAATGATAAATATTTGTGGCTTGCATTACAAAGCGGGTACAGAGAAATTGTTACTTGTGCAACTTCCAGCTGAAATAGAGAATTCAATGCCTGGTGATATAGTGTCTATAGTTCGGAATGGATATATAGATAAGTGACAGATAGCGGCCAGATTTGGAGAGCGACGGGACGAAGAGAATGTTGACTTCTTAGCATTGTGGATGAGGAACAACGAGCAACACAAAAGACAAGTGGGTCAATGGGAGACACTCGTGTGTTGCTTCATATTGCCTTTCTTGCTGAAAGTGCTTCATGTGGACATTCATAAGCTAAGGAACTGTGAGCACTGAAACCGAAGAGTGAAAAGGTCGAGCTCATGCCTGTCTTACAAATGCACACCCTTGACATGTCTCTTCAGATGCTCGCGTCGAATGAAGCTCAGCCCACAAAACACAAAATTGACTGGATGTGTATGGTTTAGCATTGTCACAACAAATGCCAAGGGAGGGAATTCACAATGGGGGATGAGGCAGCTTGCCGTCAAGGAGAATCAGAGGATATGACAGAGATTTTTCGAGCTGCTTATGGTTCTTGAATCGAAGGCGAAAATAGAGTCTATCCATTGGCATACAAATGCCGAAAGAAAGGCTGCCATGGCTGCATCTTGGCCGACAACAGCAACACATTCGTGCCAGGAATGCCTGTGTAGGCAGATAAGCATGAATCGTCAAAGGCTATTTCGAGGGAAAAAATCACCTTTAGATGATCCGGCTCGCTCGTAAAGACCTTGTACACCATTAGAGTCAAGTATGCGAATACGACGGCCACTCACCCGTTTAGCGCCGAATGAAAAGGTGTTTCCATATTTTTTGCTCCCTTCGCGGAACACTTGACCTAATACCTAATTGTTAGTCGGAGCGTACTGGGGCCCGGATATCCATTATTGAAGCTACACACAACACGCTTCAAGATAGCGATGGCGTTCTCTTGAACGCAGAGCAATCTGAGGGTGCCCTGAGCAGCTGCTTCTCTACCAACGGTAAAAGTTGTGACCAAGGCGCTAAGGAGCTGAATAGAAAACTCCAAGGACAACAGAACGACAAAGGCAAGCCAAGCAAGAATGTCAAAACCAGATTTTATGAGCACACTTTGAATGGCCCAGAAAGCGGTACAAGGGATAATTATGATAGAGAGTGTAGCTCTGCATAGATAGCCAAGTCCCAGCAGTGCGAAGTGCCTTGGCATAGCCATGATTGACTGTATAGACCTTGCCCAGCATTTGTTCGAATTTATACTCAGTGGAGGTGTAATTGAGGTGACTATATCTGATGGAATTTGGAGATTTGATTCCGACGCCGTGGGTTTCCTCAGGGTTTCTAGGTATTTGTGATTAAATCGGGCACTTGGCGCAGTGGTAGTGCTTCGCATGCGTGAGGTAGTGGGTTCAAGTCCCACATTGTCCACTGGGGTTGCATACAAGGAAACTTTTTCATGTATGTATTTTTGAAACTGCCGAGTTACACAGTGATTTTTACATTTTGAAGAACTAGGGATTATTTACATGGTGTTTTCATATAGTTGTGGGGCTGGCATCACTTCAACAGTACAGTATGTAAGTTATAGTAAATTAAATTCTCTTTGGTTGTACGGCCTGTCGGACTAATCTACCATATCAAAACGCTTCCAAGTGCATCAACCCGATATTCGGCGTCTGAGGAAAGACGATTACGCGTCTTCCATGATCAGATGACATGATATAGAGTAATTGTTCCTGAAATCTGGCCAGATTTCTTGAGATAAGTTCAACTCGCTCCAAAGGGTAGGCCAGTTACCATGAAATTATCTCTGTCCGAGCAGCTACCTTCTCGATGCATGACGAATCATGTATCGATATATTGCCAAGGTGA